ATAGAAATTTCTGTGAAATTCCTTTAAAACCCTACTCCTCATACAGTTTTGGTCTGATTTCAATATAACTTGGCACACAAGTAGACTACACTAAGATACATAATCTAGTGCATCGGTTTTTGATTTGGATGAGCGGTGTTGCCATGGTTACTAAAATAGAAATTTCTGTGAAATTCCTTTAAAATCGCTACTCCTACTACAGTTTTGGTCTGATTTCAATGTGATTTGGCATACAAGTAGACTCTATTAAGATTCATAATCTAGTGCATCGGTTTTTGATTTGGATGAGTGGTGTTGCCATGGTTACTAAGAATAGAAATTCCTGTGAAATTCCTTTAAAACCCTACTCCTCATACAGTTTTGGTCTGATTTCAATATAACTTGGCACACAGGTAGACTACACTAAGATACATAATCTAGTGCATCGGTTTTTGATTTGGATGAGCGGTGTTGCCATGGTTACTAAAAATAAAAATTTCTGTGAAATTCCTTTAAAACCCTACTCCTCATACAGTTTTGGTCTGATTTCAATATAACTTGGCACACAAGTAGACTACACTAAGATACATAATCTAGTGCATCGGTTTTTGATTTGGATGAGCGGTGTTGCCATGGTTACTAAAAATAGAAATTTCTGTGAAATTCCTTTAAAACACTACTCCTACTACAGTTTTGGTCTGTTTTCAATGTAATTTGGCATACAAGTAGACTCTATTAAGATTCATAATTCAGTGCATCGGTTTTTGATTTGGATGAGCGGTGTTGCCATGGTTACTAAAAATAGAAATTTCTGTGAAATTCCTTTAAAATGCTACTCCTCCTACAGTTTTGGTCTGGTTTCAATATAACTTGGCACATGAGTAGACTACACTAAGATACATAATTTAGTGCATCGGTTTTTGACTTCTATGAACGATGTTGCCATGGTTACTAAAAATAGAAATTTCTGTGAAATTCCTTCAAAATGAAATCCCTCCTACAGTTTTGGTCTGGTTTCAATATAACTTGGCACACAAGTAGACTACACTATGATACATAATTCAGAGCATCAGTTTTTTTATTTCGATGAAAGATGTTGCCATGGTTACTAAAAATAGAAATTTCTCTGAATTTATTTTAAAACGCTACTCCTCCTTCAGTTTTTATTTGATTTCAATTTAACTTGGCACACAAGTAGACTATATGAAGATATATAATTCTATTCATTGCTGCATGTTGCAAAGTTTCGAATCCAAGTGCTACTTTTTCTTTGTTACATGTATATGTACAGACCAGTAGAGCTACAGTCTCATCAGAGACTTCTGGTTTCAAATAGGGAAGGGGAGAAAAAATAATTTACTTTAAGGGTAAAGGACAGAAAAATGTAATTGACTAGCAAAGAAACTTTATTTCCGGAAAAAAACGTTGACATAAAAAAGAAGTGTCCATTCACAAAAATATATTTAATGTGTGTGTTTGGGAGTGTGTGTTTGTGTGGAGGGGGGTCCGTTCATACTTCAACTGAAAGTGAAGGTTGGGATGTACTGTAGTCTTTTATAAAAAAAACTTCCATTATAGATTAATAGCAATAAACTATTTTCGCAAAATAACAAGGGACCAGCCCCTTACTACCCCCGATCTGCTAACAAACTACGTGCTACGATGAGACAATGAAACTATTCAAAAGAAGAAAAAAATCATACACAGACAAGAGTGGCTTACATAAATTTTGTATGAAATTCACATGAATTTCATGTGAATTCTTTGCATGAGAAAGAGACGAAAAACAAGACATATGAAATTTTAAGTGAAAACTTTAAGCCATTTTGACATAACTTTCATATGAATTTTACATGAAGAGCATATCGTATAAAAATCGTGCAAAAAAAAAAAAAAAAAAAAAAAAAAAAAAAAAAAAAAAAATTCACATGAAAGTTTTAAAAAAAATTGTGTGAATATCATACAAACGTATTCACATGATATTCGCATGAAAAAATATCTATATGATTTTCATATGATTTTCACATAATTTTCTAATAAAAAAGATAATCACATGTATATCATGTAAGCCACTTTTCCCTGTGATATACAAGTTTAATCGGATAGGACCAGAAGTGAAAATTGTTCTCTTATTTTTATCTATGGCCTAAACATAAGTAATTCGAGGCATATTGATTTATTTAAATTAAATATTCAAATATCTTAAACAATTGAGAATCCCTATACTCTGGTATAAAACATTGCCTTTAAAATAGTGATTTCTTTGTTTGAATAAATACATGGTTTCGAGTCCTCCAAAATTCATTTCATTTTTTATCAGCTTGTTACGGAAGCCCGTTGAGGCCAATTCAGAGAAAGAAATATTTTTTATTGCGTTTAAACGCAATAATTATTGCGTTTAATCGCAAAACATTGCGTTTAATCGCAATAATCATTGCGTTTAAACGCAAAAGATTGCGTTTAATCGCAATGTATATTGCGTTTAAACGCAAAACACTTTGCGTTTAATCGCAAAAGATTGCGATTAAACGCAATCTTTTGCGTTTAAACGCAATACTTTTGCGATTAAACGCAATAATTTTTGCGTTTAATCGCAGTGATATTTTTGCGTTTAAACGCAATAATTTTTGCGATTAAACGCAATACTTTTGCGTTTAATCGCAATAATTTTTGCGTTTAAACGCAATACTTTTGCGATTAAACGCAATACTTTTGCGTTTAATTGCAATAATTTTTGCGTTTAAACGCAATACTTTTGCGTTTAAACGCAATACTTTTTGCGTTTAAACGCAATAATCTTTGAGTTCAATGGCAATAATCTTTGTGTTTAAAGGCAGTCATTTGTATCAAACCTTGCAGAGAACAATGGACCCACGCATACTTATATCTTTTATTTCTTTCTCTTTTTACTTATTAGGAAATTGTGTGTTGTCTATATAGAATCAGATTTCTCCGAGCAAACACTCTCTGAAAGGTAAATCACTAATAAGAATTTATAGAGGAGAAAAAAATGTCGGGTTGTAAAAACAAAGGAATCCTAAGAACGAGACATGTCTTAAGCTTATTCTCTACATTTTTAATGAAGTTTCGGTCAGTTGTTCTGCTAAAAAAACTGTCCCATACGTTGCAGTCACAAGTTTAAATCATGTATAAAGGGATTTTTGGAAAGGACTGAGGAAATGTTGGAATTACGTACAACATGATGAAGTATTTAGACTTCAATGTACATTCATAACCCTTCCTGTGGTTGCATACAATAAACACAAGAACATATGCGATGGATTTATATGAGGTCAAAATCAAAATCAAATGAAAACAGATTGATCGATGTGTACTACATGTATCAAATTGACAAGTGCTATTAATACCACTGAAACTTTCTCTATAAGTTATGATACACGTAAGCGATTGATCAGAGACTTCATTAAGAGTTTTGGGTTCTAATACATTTAAGACAATCAGGTTGTTAGGATGCCATTGTTTTATTACAATTTTCAAAACTGGAAAATTTTGCAAAAAGACACAGAACAAATCGGATCTTCTAATAGTTGAAGTGGCGGGTACTAGTACATGTAATTATAAGCTTTGACTAATTCATGTTTGATTTTGAAACTACAGTATCATTGTGTTTAAATGCAAAGCAAATCCTTATAAGGAAGGATTATTGCGTTTAAACGCAAAGATTATTGCGTTTAATCGCAAAATTATTGCGTTTAATCGCAATACTATTGCGTTTAATCGCAAAAGTATTGCGTTTAATCGCAAAAGTATTGCGTTTAATCGCAAAAGTATTGCGTTTAATCGCAAAAATTATTGCGTTTAAACGCAAACATTATTGCGTTTAAACGCAAAAAATATTGCGTTTAAACGCAAAAATATTATTGCGATTAAACGCAAAAATTATTGCGTTTAATCGCAAAAGTATTGCGTTTAAACGCAAAAGATTGCGTTTAATCGCAATCTTTTGCGATTAAACGCAAAGTGTTTTGCGTTTAAACGCAATATACATTGCGATTAATCGCAATCTTTTGCGTTTAAACGCAATAATTATTGCGATTAAACGCAATGTTTTGCGTTTAAACGCAATAATTATTGCGTTTAAACGCAATAAAAAATATTTCTTTCTCTGAACTGGCCTCAACGGGCTTCCGTAGCTTGTTTATATTACAAAAAAAAAAAAGAAAAAAAAAGAAACAGAGTTTTATAAATACGTCATATCATAATCATCATCAAGGTAGATGACTGAGACGTTAAGATTTTAGCTTTAAATCTCACTTTTGTAGAAAAAAAATTGCTTGACAAGCGGTAAATGTAAAGAACTAAGAGCGTTCATTGTACGTTAGGATGTCTTAAGATGTTCCTAAGTTACCGTCGAGCTACATCTTATGATATATCCTAAGTTGATCTTAGGATGTTCCTAACTTTCTTCCCAAGTCCTATCTTAGGAATAATCTTAGGACATAACTTAGGAAAGTTTCGTGAACATGCCTGCTGGACCCTTGGTTAGGCCAGTTGCCCGGGGACATTGGTCAACGTTAGGACAGGTGGTCTAGTGTCAATTGTTCCTTGATTTTATCCTGATTAATTGTGCAAATCATGGTAAATATATTGATTAAATAAATTGTTTAAATAATCAACTTAAATATATTGATTAGGTTTGTGTCCTAGTGGACAAGAAACAGATTATTTGTTCGGTTATTTGCACTGAAGAAATCCCGGGTGTAACCGGGTACGTGTCTACAGGAAAATATAGACCGCTCGGCTGGACACACGTTACAATAGGCTTCTATTAGGCGTCCTTCATGCATCAAATAATAGGACCTCCTACTACCTAACATAATTAAGCCACCATTAGGTATCGGGCACCAAGTTATAGGGCCTCTTACCACCTAATATAATTAGGCCTCTAAGACATCTAATGTTATTAGGACGCCATTAGGTGTCTTAGTAATAAAAAAATACCATAAGTATAAACGTTAAATAGGAAACATAAAATCAGTACATTTTGTAGGATCTCTGTATCAAGATGAACCAATAGATTGATAATGCGCAGAGAGAGTGGGATTTTCTTCTTGTTCCTCCTGGTTTTCAAACCTTCGAAAGCACACCGACATGTACTTTCCCCGAATTTCTTTATCCAGAAGACAAAATAGAATAAAATTCCCCAAAGCATGAGAACTATCACCAACACACTGTAGGTACAACAGATAATTAGGACCATTTTGGAGCTCATTTGAATTGGATATCACCATAAAGAACCGCAGTGTTCCCCAGAACCTCAACAGATACAATGGCAGCCAAATGTAACAGAAACGTTCGTCCTCCCTTCTTAATGAAGCCGGATTCATCACCATTCTACTCCAACGATAGGTCTGTTTTGTTTCTCTCTGGATTATAAATAAAATAAGCTTTGACAGAACATAAAATAATTTGTTTCAATAATGATTAATGTTTTATAATATGCGAAATATGAGAATTTGCAGTTAAAAATAAATTTTAAAATGCTTTGTTCAGTCGTTTTATTTAATAACTAGATATCATTGAGATGGTGGTCATCTCAAAGGGCCCCGCTTTCAGCAACAAACATGAAGAAGTAAAGTAGCTGAAAAGGGTTTATTTTGAAGAGGAACACTTCAGTACTATTAAGGGATGTGTTGTTTGAGTCTAAAGGGCTTCTTTGTCATCCTTGTTATAATAAAAAATGGCACGAAAATCACGAGTGCTCCATACCCTCTATCAAAAAGCGGCAAAAAAAAAAAAAATGTTGCATATCCTCTATGAAAACTGTTGCATATATATCAAAATATGGAAGGAAAATCACAAATGTTCTGTACCCTAAGTCAATTGGTAAAGTTTGAGGCTGACTGGACTTAAGAGAAAGAAATCATGCACCGAACAAAGATTTTAAACAGAGAGGCTATTTTTGACCTTGACCCTTGACCTAGAAAATTCGCTCAAGGTCACTGCACATCCATTGACCAGTGGTACTCTGAGAGTGAAGTGTGAGCCACATTGGATCAAAAGGAGAGAAGATATGCTCCAGACGAGGATTTTTCATATAATTCTGCTATGACCTTGACCTTAGACCTAGAAACAAGATTCAAGGTCACTGCACACTCTTTACCCAAAGGCACTCTGTGGGTGAACTATGAGCCAGATAGGACCAAGTAGAGAGAAAATATGCTCTGGACAAGAGTTTAAACAGAGAGGCTATTTTTGACCTTGACCCTTGACCTAGAAACTTCGGTCACTGCATATCCATTGACCAGTGGCACTCTGTGAGTGAAGTATGAGCCACACTGGACCAAGGGGAGAGAAGATATGCTCCGGACAAGGATTTTTCATATATATAATTCTGCTATGACCTTGACCTTAGACCTAGAAACATGGTTCAAGGTCACTGCACACCCTTTACCCAAAGACATTCTGTGGGTAAAGCATGAGCCAGATTGGGCCAAGGAGATAGAAGATATGCTCCGGACAAGAGATCTCGGACGGACAGACGGACAGACGGACGGACTGATCACTATAGGGCGCCCGCAGAGCGGGGCCCTAATAATAATTGTTGATCTCAATTCGATTTTATGTCGTATATAGGTTAGCTTACTTTTGAAAAAAAAATCTTTTTCATGTGTTCACATCAAGGTCAACACTACATACAACCATCATTTCTTTGGTACGTGTAACATTTACCTTATCATGATTACCATTTAAGGGAATCATTATATTAGGAGTAAAAGTACGTAAAAATATCAAAATCATTCAATTGAGAAACTAAGGGATACATACTTCAATGTAAGCAGTGATCTTCAAATGCATGAATACACCTAACGATAAAATGTAAGTCAAGAACTCCCACAATTTGCCGGCGAGAAGCATGACCTCTTTGTCGATTAGCTGAATGTCACTTCCATTGGTTTGGTTTAGTTTAATCCAACACCAAGGTCCCGTTGTAATATTGTAGCTTTCTCCTAGACGTTCAGTTACTAACATGACCACTGTTATAAAACCTAAAACGCAAACAAGTACCATACAGTAAGTACAGTAAATTTCTCATGTATTTTAATAAAAAAAATAAACCACAACTGCTTTTTTTCTATCGGTCGATTCATCAAAGCTTCCTTTTCAATAAATCTCTAAATCCAGTATCTCAAAACCCTATGACGCAAATATTTCTTAATTTTGTTAGCAGTTCGTATGAGGAAATTTTAGTAGGCCTATGGCTTTTAAGTAAATGTAAATGAGTGTGGTTTTGAATTAAAGTATAAGTGAAAAAGTTGTTTAGTCGAAAAATTCTTTTCAAAAACCTTTCTTAATATACTAGCTCATCATTTGATAACGACCTTATATATAATCACACAACCTTATAGATAATGCACACGCTTACTGGCGTACAATGAGCGTATCAGGCGAGCCGAAGTTTTCCGGGTTCTAGCACCGAGTTTAATATGAATGTTATCTTCGTATCGTGAAGTGTATCAGTGATACTCTAGTTTATCCAGCATTTCAGGTTATTCATTGAAACAAGTTAGCCTGATATCAAGCATCGGATGAGCTAGAAATCTATAAGGCGATAAATGACTTTATTGGGCCTAACAGTTGGAATAATCCAGCTATATCAAGTATTTCACAAGGCCAAAATAAAAAATAGGTTTGTTTCCCCTAACGCGACCGACCCACTCAAATCGTGCCGACTGAAAAGTTTTTTTAATAAGACTATTCAAATATTTATTTTTATTGTTTATCAACTTTATAAAATACAATTTCATCAAAATTCGTTTTTTTATCAGAATGGCGACATTTGTTTTACTCCCATTTGGCGCCCACAACATGTGGCCACAGAGGGTTATTTAGTGTTATAAAACAACGGCGATGTATCAATCTTAATATATATCAGTGTACATCTTTAACTTATTAGAATCCTAAACTCTTGAAACATTTCGTGAATTAAATATACCATGACTAAGGAGTGTTAAGATGGTATTTACAAATCTGTCTTCTAAAATTAACGTACGTAGTAAGCATGACAAGGCCTGCCTCATGAGCAGATGAGGGGCCCACTTTGTGTATGCATATCAATAAATTTCACTGCATTTCATTCGTTTTGATCTAAAAAACACTTCATGTATGATTCTATTTTTCACTAAATGTGTATAGGATCATAGGATTTGTAAATATATCTTTGAATAATTATTTCATCTTGATAAATATAATTCGGATGTCGTTTCTTCATTCCTTTTATTTATGGGGTAAACTTCGTGACTATAACATTAGATGTATGAAACTTTAATCATTTTAGATATGGTTTGGTTGAATTAAATATTGTTTATACAGGTACTCTCTTTTCAAATAGTGTTGAAATCTTTCAAGTTGGCTTATGGCACGGCTTCCTGAGACGTTCAGTGTATTTTTCTTTTCTTTAGTTGGGCCCTTGAAAATGGGTTGTTTCTTTGCTTTAAAATACCTTAAAAAATTGCTGGGTCGACAACATTTGAACACCTGCCTGGTGGAGGGCTCCTAATTTAGATTTTTTTCTCGGCACTTATGGCCATTGATCATACATGTAAAGCATCAGTAAGGGATCTTTATCGTTCCAACATCTACATGTATACTGTGACACTGCATGGCCCTACGTTTTTTTAAGGTCTCATTTGACTGACCAGTTTCCACGCCCAACGTCGGGACCTGTGACTTAGAATAAGCTCCTGAATAACGTCGTGACTCAAAACGAAACACTAAAATTACTGCGCCACGCGAGGCCCTTGACATTTTATCTGTGTAAGCACTCGAAGATGATAGTAGGTTTTAAAAAAATACTCGGGTGGCCGATGGTTGAGTATTTGCGAATCTTGTCTTTTTGTAAAAATTCAATTTCATTAAATTTAAAATTAAGTTCAAATGAATAATATTTGTGAATTGATTTACCATACATGTTAAATTTCATTTGTATGATATTCGGTTTAAAAATCGGTTTCTTCTGTTCTTTGTTATTTATACAGATATTATTCAATTTTCAGAATGTATTTTCAAAACTGTTGTCAGGAAAAAATTTTTTACCTACCTACCTACTCAACTTGAAATTTTAGGGTCGGGTTAGGGGAAACAAAGATATTTTTAATGATGGCCCAAAAGATTTAGAAAGCGTAGTCTGCTACAATGTATATTCAAACAAATGACTGGGGTCGCTTAGAACTTAAATACGCACGCACTTGTTTACAATTTCTCATCCTAGTAAGCGAGACAGTTTGAAATCACAAAGCATGTTGACTGACACACAAATGTTTCAGATTGGTAACCAAGTTGAGAGAGATCAGAAAAATCAGGTGGTATGAATTTGTGTGAATTAACTTAAGAAATAAATCTGTGTATACAGACTTACCTGGGATAAACCAGCCTATGACGTGATATAAAACTTTTAAGCAGGTGTTCCTATCCCAGTCATTTGTTGTTCTGACTAATAAAAATAGATGTACTGTAATAATAGAGGTCCAAGCAAAAGAAGACATGTTGGAAAACGTCGTCACAAAACTCTGGGCTTCACAAAGGGTGGTGTTCCGAGTATCTTCGTCGTGGGAGTACATATAATTGAAGGTCCCACATATGTATCCTAAGACTGTTATAATATCAGCAATTGTAAGGAAACTTAAAAGGTTTCTGAGCATGTAATGTAGGTTTTCCATTTTATACTGGGTCATTAACAGGCCTACTCCTCCAAGGAGGGATGCAAAACAACTGACCAAAGTTATCACAGAAATGTTTTCCCTGTCTTCCATATCACAAAGTTTGACGCAGAAAACGATAGGCTGTAAAAAACAGGATTTCCGTGTAGAATTAAAGTATAAGTCGCAGTAACTTTTATCAGTATGATAAAAAGAAGGCAGTAATTAAGTTTTTTGGTACACAGTATCTAGATTTATATATCGTTATCACTGACTGTGGGTCAAAAGTATATATATATATATATATATATATATATATATATATATATATATATATATATATATATATATATATATATATGATCGCCAGAGAATTGGTGCAACCAACTCAAATCGTAGTCAATCAGAAATCATTGGAGATTCTTTCTATCAAGTTTTCACTTATTTCTGAGCATATATTGCATATAAGAATTTTGTTTATATACCGTAACTTTAAAATTTTGATATTTTATTTTCATGCGAAATAAAAGTTTTATAATCATATACAAAACTATTAAAAGTGTCTGTGTTAATTTATTTTACAATTTTGTTGAAGTAATTATTTTCCCATCAATACTCCAACGATAGGTGCAGACCTATCACATGTCAAGAGACTTTAGACAGGTTTTTGAATTTCCTACATGTATGGGTGTTGGTCGCTCTTGTCCTGTGCTGTTGTACCAGCAGGTTGTATTGGAATTAATATCCTTTGGGAGTCATGGTATGTTTGACTTTTTGTTTGGTATTTATCTTGGAAGTATAAGTATTGTTTCAGGATGAGATTTCTGCATTTCTACATGTATATTTCCATTAATTGAAAACTTGCATGTTTCTTTCTTTTATCTGAGCAGCACGGCACTTTATTACAAAAATCATTAGAATTAAGTTATAGCCTAAATTCCATAATTTTGGTAAATTGTTTGTTAAATGTGAGTTGTTATGAATTGTAAATAATTTTTATTTCATTGCTAAACTTTTATGATTAAATAGGTTTAGACGAGATCACTTTTTACATTAAAAAAAATGGAGGCGTGCAAAGCGAGGACAATCCCCCGCTCTGGGACAAAATATTTTTCAATTCTAAAATCTAAAAGTTATTCAATAAAATAAATGAATCAAATGTTTTAAAGGTGACATTAATGGCAAGAATTTTTTGAAAAATGAAACTTTTCGTGAACTTTGAAAGTTGCGAAATATATTGTCTCAGAGTTAGGGATTGTCCTCGCCTCGTACGCCCCCATTCTTTTTAAGTGTTAAAACTATCGCGGCTAGAACGAAGACTAGAAGTATTATAAGATACGTATTATTTAGTGATAAGATATTTTATGATCGGTGTTATGTATTATTATATGAACACTTGAGTATTGTGGATATTTCCAAGGTTTTGTGTATTGATTTTGCGGGGCCAGACATAAATTTGTTTATTTGTGTATTTTAATTGATGAGTGTGTTGAACTTATAACAACCTGTGCTGTCGTTTTTTTTTTTTTTTCGTTTTTTTTTTTACACAATCGTGGTTTACAGATATAAAACAATTATTATTTACATGTATGTCATTCATAATAGTACTTTAGGCAAGAGCAATAACCCTGCCAAAGAACGTAAATGAGGATATACGTCGTACGTATTATGGTCCTACATGTTGCTTGAAGTGATAAGATTCTTATTCATTGCCAAGTAGGAAAGCTTTGGTATCTGCTTGAAACTGTTAACTTGCAATTGTCATCTTAAATAATTAGTGTCCTATTCTACAATTTTTATGTCTTCTTAAACCTTTGGACAGAAATCTGTTATTATAAAGAAACAACATTTCGTAAGAAAAGAATATCCATTTTTCTGAAGTTCTCTGCCAAAATATATGAAATATAAAACTGATTTCCCTATTTGTAATATTTACATTTGCTGTCTTTTTCTACAAAGCCAACTGTGAAATTGATTTGAAAGTCATTTTTGTGTATACTCACGCGTAGAAATATACATGGTGAAACTCGCGCTAAAGTGACGTCACAATGAGGCTACAGAGACGTAAATAAAAATGTAACGATATAGGGCAGCAAAAAATTCATATATTGAGTATATTATTGGTGCTTTTAATCTTGTAAAATGTAAACATAAAGAATGCTTTTAAGTTTTGTGTGAATTATTGGTGTGTAAATCACACAGACTTGCACGTAGGCATATTTTTCATGAAGCGCTAGCGCGCTTCATGAAATATGCCTCGTGACAAGTCTGTGTGATATACACACCAATTACTCGCACAAAACTTAAAAACATTTCTTAATTGTTTCGACTAAAAAACTTATTTTCAGTCATAAAAATAATAAGCAATGTCAATAAAAGTGTATATATATATATATATATATATATATATATATATATATATATATATATATATATATATGAAATATATGGAGATAACGAACAGTATTCAAACTCAAAAGTCCATTAAACATTACAAAATAGGAGCAGAGCAAACACGGACCTCCAAAACATCAGAGGTGGGATCAGGTGAGCATCCCCTGCCGACGGGTCACACCCGCAGTGTGCTCCTTGTCATGATAACGGAAAAATCCGTCGACAATTCAGTGTGTAAATAATGGCCTAACAATTAGTATGAAAAACGTCAGTCAGCATTTGACTCAATGATAAATTGTATTTGCTGACAAGGTCATTGTATCGACCATAGAACTTACGAAATGATGACTTTAAATGATACTGCTGATATTCTTGTTTCATCAACTTGTTTGTCAATAATTTACCTCGTTTTAGAAATTGTACATACGTAAAGCACGCTCTTGCGTATCGAATCAAGTGAGAGATATAAACCCCGTACGCAGGTGATGAAGGTATATATTACTGCATAAGTAAGGGAAATTGACAATTGAAAAGTTAAAGTCATCACGTTTAACATAAAGCTTGGTTGTTAGATTTCCATTAACGTCTTTTTCAAGTAAAATATCCAAATATGAAACAGATGTGTCAGACTCTGTGGTATCTTTTATCTCAAGCTCACCGGGATATATCGTATCGACAGAAGAATGGAAATATATTTATTTGTAAGTTTTATACATAAGAGAGATAAAAAAATTTGAAAAAAATAACTCCTGAAAAAAATTCTTTTCATGTTTATGCATGAATTTAATTTCCAAAAGCTGTCACTTCTTAATAATATCTTTTTAGTCAATTTTCAACATGAACTAACAAAAGGCAATTTAATAAACAAACGGAACAGCCGTTTTTCTTCACTACCTCTCAGTATACAATGTGCTCTGATAACCGTCTGATTCTGCATTCAATAATTCATACTTTTTTCGCGTTTTGCAAAAGTCACCAATCATTTCAAGATACTTTTTTCTGATATTTTTGTCAAGTAGACAAAACAAGATAAAGTTTCCCAATGCTTGAGCACTGTCACCTGCACACTGGAAATACATGAAAAGGGTATCTGCAAAAATTATCTCGTCGGATTGTACATCAGCTACTGCAAAAAAGAATCTTATTGTTCCCCAAAAGCGAAGTAAATACAGAACGAGCCACGTGAAACAGAATCGTTCATCTTCGTTTGTCAGGTTAGCGCCATCTACATCACTCCAACAATAGCTTCTATTTTTCTGTCTCTGCAAAGTATTTTCTAAAATTACATTGCATTAAAATTTACCCGCAGAAAAATCATTATCAACAATTTTCAAAACCATATTTATAACAGACTTCCACAGAGGTTCAATGTAAAGCAACGAGCATAAAAGTTATCCACTTTATTAATTAAGAACAGCAACTCCCATCATAAAAATAAAATTTTACCTCAAAGTAAGTGTTTATCTTCAGTAACATATACATCGAAAATGACAGGACATAAGTCATAAGTTCCCATAGTTTTCCAGACATTAATAGCGACACTATGCCTGAAGTCCGGGTTCCATTGCTGTGTTCGACCTTGACCCAACACCACAGACCAGTGACCGTTAGACGTCCATGGACGTCTCGCCCAAGCTTGTCCAAGACCAGAAAACAAATGCTGATAATAGCTACAACCAGAAAAATCGAATATTATGAGCGGTTTTCGAAATCTAATAAAGAATCCAAAATATTTTTCGTGAGACAACTCTAATATTTTTTATATTATACTTAGATATCTTTTTATATTAATCACGACACCTTTCCATGGCTAGTAACTCCTCTTTGAAGGTGAAATTCTTTCAAGATAAATCGAAGAAACTTAAAACTCTTTAGAAATACTCATTGAATTTTCCTTATATAATATCTAATAACTTCTTTGGGAAGCCATAAAACATATTTTTGACTTCTCATTTCATTTAATAAAAAAAATGAAAGGATTATTTATATGTTAGCAAAGAAGTAGCGTTTAATAAGTTGAATTGCTATTCAATATCGCAGCATCATGCAATCCTCAAAAGTCAATATATATACTTTTAAAAACCATCCGAGAATCCAGACAATGTGTATAGAAGAAGAGGTCAACCTGGACCTCTGAAAGGCAAAAAGGGGTATTTTCAAGTCTCGTATGATATCAAAATATAAACGCCTCTGAAAATTAAAAAAAATACCAATTTCATAGTGTAATTGTATCTATACGACAAGGTTTTATATACATGTACATGGTGTCGTCACGCCATGTAGGAAGACAATGTATTTTGGAAAAAGAAATCCATACTAAAATCCAATGATAAAGGAGATATCAAAATGTAAATAAAAAAAGAAAGAGCTGCATGGTTGAAGCTAGTAAATATTGCACAATAGATGAAGACAATATAGCAATGAAAACCGTACCTGGTACAACCCATCCTAATATATAATACACGATCTTCAGAAGGCGATTCCTTTCAAAGTCTTGTTGTCTTCGTATAGCCAAAAATAAATGAACTGCAATGATGGATGTCCAAGCAAACGAACTAAGGCTGGCAAATGTGGTGACAAAACTCTGTGCTTTGCATATCGGATCTGTCGAGTTCTTCTGGGAGTCGTCCAGTCTGAGAAAATTAGCAGTACCAACTATATATCCAAATGCTGAAAAAATGTCAGCAACTGTAAGGAAAACCAGAATTTTTCTGACCGGGCTTTGGAATTCTGGTATCTTGTTGTAGGTAAGCAAGAGTGCAAATCCTCCAGTAAGCGAAAGAGAAGCACTAAGCAGAGTAATGGCCGCCGCTAAAGGTATACAATGTCTAGATAGAATCATACTGTTCCTTGTTGTTAAAAGATACAAGTGAAGTATTTTTTGTGATTTGGTAGATAAACATTGATTTTGTAATCTTTAAGTAAAGATACATGTATGATCATTTATTTACATTTAAAGGGCACATATCAGCTTCCTTATTTATCAAGATAATTTTTTTTAAACTATGAAATGTCATTAAGATCAATGACGTTAAATATGGTACATTTTGAGTGATATAATTTTATAATCTAAAACAATGTTTTTAAATTCACAATAGTACAAACTAGAACTGTCCAAAAATGGACAAATACCCCCCGCTTTGTTTTTCAGAGAAGGTGCCAAGTCACTAACACTAGTATTTGATGGATCTAAGAAGTGTTCACAATTTGTTTAAACATTTAGAATTTACCTGTAATTGCTCATTATATTTTTTAATGAATGAAACTAAGTCGCAACCTAATAAAACATCAATACTAATAATATCATTGTTTTTTATTACATTGAAAAAAAAAATTCAAGTATTTCTCGACTGGAAAGTATGAATGCATTATTTATTCATTTTTTCTACAGTGACTATAGGTCAAGATCATGACACACCCTGAGGTCATAAGCAATCTTCGTGTGAAGTGGAAACGCCCAACATCCCAACATTATTCTTCATAAAAAAGATACGGACCGGACACGAATTATCAACTTTTTCTTCAGTGATCTTGAACTTGCCCAAATGATCTTGGATCAAGGTCATTACACACACTCTGGTCATAAACAATGTTTGTGAAAATTGGGAACACTCCGAGTTTATCCATAAGAAAGATATGGACCGGACACGAAGGGTGAACTTTTTCTTTCAGTGACCTTGAACATGCCCAAATGACATTGGGTCAAGGTCATGACACACCCTCAGGTCATGATCAATCTTTGTGTGAAGTAGTAGATTCTAATGTGCCCCCGTACGAAAGATATGGACATGTCCGTTTGCACAGACAGCTAGACAGACAGACGGAAATGGTGATTCCTATATAACCCCAAACCTTGTTTGCGTAGGTATAATTATAAGTTATAGATGATGAAAAAAGTGTAATAAATAGTGTAATAAAAGTACATTCCATCTTACATGCATGGAGAATTAAATAGTGAAATACATCCGAATTAATTCAGTATAATAATATTTGATGTTGTAAGTAGATAAAACTGGGTAATCTCCCTTCGCATACACTTTACATGACAAGGTGATTTAGGTCAGAATCTGTGATTTCTCTTTTCGGCTTGTATTCATTTCTGTATAAGCATCCATCACTGACATTTACTTAGTTGTATTTCCGCATCCTGTATATTTCTCTAACATTAAACAAAGCTAATTACTGGCGCACTCTATCTGGCTTCATCCAGTAAATTCAAAGTTTACAACATGAATGCTCTTTTTTCTGTTCTGTGAGCAATTTCGCGTGTTCTTTATACCTACACCTTTCTATTCACGTATTTCTACTGATCAATTCAGAGATTGCTTTAAAATACATCCAGCATATCTAGTTACTAAATATTCTCCTATTGGGCCAACTTTACATGTAAAATAATGTTTGCTTGCCCTCTCCCGACTCAGAATGAGAAAATTGAGTCGGTAGGTAGGTGAGGAAAAGAAAATTTCAAAATCAATGCAGAATTTTCAAAATATATTTTCCGGAATACATAAAAAAGAAATACGTTTAAATCAAATGACCTAAAATTTTACTTTCTATTCATATCTATACACATGTAAACAATCTACAATACGACCAAAGTTCATTCCGAAATTCATTATACCTTCTGAGATATCCTGAAATAAATTCCAAAATGAACCTTTTTTTTACTCGAAATTAGGCCCTGGTCATTTACACTTATTGTAAAGTGGGAACGACGGGACAAATTTTCCTCGAAATTTATTTGGTTATTTGCACTCAATCTCTACAATTTTTTGTCATTTAATCATATGGTTTTACTACTAGTAAGTTACCAACAACATTTAAGCAGTCTAATTCTTAAAAAAATCTTGTAGTATATAATTATTCATTCCGGGAAAATTTCGTTCAATCATAGCTCTTTATACATTTAAGGAATGAATTTAATAGCTACCCAATTTATACGGTATAAAGTGGGTTTGGGGAGGTTACGCTTTATAAATCGTGTAAAAAAATGATTGCTCTTAAAAAATGACTTCAAAATGTACAAACAACAAGCAAATTCATAGAATTGTGGTCCCCCGCTTTCGGTGTCTTATTGGATGGGATGCCATTATTTATGTCTTATTGTAACTGTCTTGTTAGTGGGTCTTGTCGTCATACAAAAAAATTATTGAATTAATAATAGTAATGGCAAAGATCATAGCTTCTCAAAACTATTCAAACTTGAAGGTCAAAGTCATGAAGTCAAATATCATAATACATCCGAAAGGTCTTGTCACAAGTAATGCAGATGTAAAAAAAAAAAAATAAAAATATGAAGCCCTGTCTCTTATGGGGCATAAAGGTTATGGTCGAAGTTAAATTTTTTTTATAAGAAGGTCAAACTTCTAGGTCAAGGTCATAAAATAAAAAAATGATATACCTTTTTGAAAGGTGTTGATATAGGCAATGTGATGTAGAAATAGCCCTATCTTCTCTCATTCAAAATTATTACAAATGTAAAATTAATTTGAAAAAAAAGACTGTAGGTTAAACATTAAGGTCAGGGCCACGAAGTAAAAAATCAGAGTTTACAATCGGAAAGGTTGCACATGTCAAATGTAAATCCCATATCTATTCTCAATCAAAATTTATCAGCAATGTTAAAATTTTAGAAAATTATGTCAACCTCAAGGTCCTGGGGTTAAAATCATAGAACATTTGGAAATGCTTGTCACAGATAATGCACGTGTCAAATAAGAATGCTCTATCTTCGCTCCTTCAAAAGTTAGCAACACTGATAAAATGTTTGAAAATAAGGTCAAAGCCACGGGCTCAAATATCAAAGCACATTCGGAAACATTTTGCCACAGGTATACCACTTGTCAAATACAAACGCCGTATCATAGGTCAATCAGAAGTAATCACCAGTGTTAAAATTTTTGAAAATTAGGTCAAACGTGAAGGTCACACGTGAATGTCAACTTCAGGTCAAGGGGTCAACCATCATAGCATGTTCGGAATTGTCTTATCACAGGTAATGCACCTGTCAAAAATGAAAGCCGTATCTTTTCTCCATCAAAAATTATAAGCAAAGATAAAATTTTTGAAAAGTAGTTCAAACTTCAAAGTCAAGGTCACAGGGTTAAAAGTCAAAGTATATTTAAAAAGATCTTGTCTCAGATAATATACATGAATAACATGAAAGCCCTATCTTTTCTAATTCAGATTTTATGACCAATTTAAAGAAATGTTAAAATTTTTAAAAAGTAGATCAAACTTAATGGTCAAGGTCAAAGGGTCATAAAAAGCGTAGTATATCTGGAAAGGTCTTGTCAGAGATAATGTACATGTGAAATATGAAAGCTTTACTTCTTCTCAATCAAAAGTTATAAGCAAAAATTATTTTTTTAAAAAGTAAGTCAAACTTCAAGGTCAAAGTCATGGGTAAAAAGTCATAGTATATTTAGAAAGTCCTTGTCTTATGTAATATGCATGTATAATATGAAAGCCATATCTTTTCCCATTTAAAAGTTAGGAAAAATTTAAAGTAATGTTAAAATTTTGAAAAGTAAGTCAAACTTCAAGGTCAACGTCACGGGGTAAAAAATCATAGTATATTTGGAAAGGTCTTGTCACAGGTAATGTACATGTGAAATATGAAAGCCCTATCTTTTCTCATTCAAAAGTTATGACCAAGGTTAAAGTTTTTGTGACAGACTGACAGACGGACAGCTAGACACACTGACAGACAGACAGACGAATGAGATTTAATGTCCCCTCGCTTTCGCGAAAGCGGGGGACAATAATGCACTATTTCTTAGCTAATTTCCGTTAATAATACCTGATCTATTGACAGTCTCGTAGTAGTCTCGCTTTATTTAGTCTCCACAGAGTTATCGAGAACTCACCAGGCATTATAATTTACTGAACAACGAAGAATAAATGATTCCGAACACATTCGACTGAGGGCGCTTACCGAAAGTTCGAATTGTTTTCTTTTATGTCGTCTGCCAAAGTTAATATTTTTCTGCAGTCTTTATGTCATGTTCCGTCAAAGGAGAAGATATTATTGGCTCCAGTTGTATTATTCCTATACTGCTCCACTTAAGACACGATGACTAAAAATGCAGTTATGGGAGAACAAGGTCAATACAGTCCATCAAAATGAATATTAAATTATAATTAGGTAACAAAGAATACATATCTAGTTTTCAATTATGTCCCCACTAAAATAAATATTAATTCAAGTAACAAAAAAGCATATCTAATTTTAATTTTTCTCCTTTGAAACCGTGAAATGATTGATTGATTGTATGTTGTTTAACGTCCCATTCGAGAATTTTTCACTCATATAGAGACGTCACCATATGCCGGTGAAGGGCTTCAAATTTTGACCTTTACTCGGCACTTAGGGCCATTGAGCAGTGAGGGATCTTTATCGTGCCAACGTCTGCCGTGACACGGGGCCTCGGAAACCGTGCGATGAAAAATCTTGTTTACAAGAACACCTTTTCTAAAAGCCACAAGTATTTTATTTAGCGTTCTAAAAATAATGCTTTTCTGAAGTGAGCAAATAATTTGGGGGGGGGGGGGGGTGAAATCTTCTTGACCTTATATCAACAAGCATTTCAATATAGAAAATCAAAGTACTGAAAATACTGAACCAAGGTGACGTATGACTTTTAAAATAAGTAGACATTAACCCGTGAACGCATGGGTTAAGGCGTAAATCAATTGGCCAAATGTTATATCAAAGTCAAGGCATTTAAAGGAAATCATAACAATGATCATTATTAGGTGGGTTTTTGTTGTTATTTTTTGGAGGAGGAAGTTGCATGTTGTATACATACTAAAATCATACAGATCATATTAATTTTGTGT